GAATCCTACGCCAGTGTCCTAACAACAAATGAAGGTAAGAAAGTTGTTACCTTGCTAACAGCAGTTTTACATTTGCAGACAGGCGTCCCAAATGCGATACTTCCTTTTATTTAACCGCGATTGTATTCCACGAGAACAATCGGTGACTTCCGCACAAAGACATTCACATTTTCTGAAGACTAGACTATAATCACTCACCATAAAGTTTTATATATCTTCCAGATTAACACTTCTGTGCGATTTTGGTATTTTGTATCTATTGGACCTTTAATTGAGTGGGCGCATGTATAAGTGACAATACGCTCTTTTGCTATCCGCGTTTTCGCTTGTTTGCTTTTTTTTCAGAATCATATGAAGCATCAGTAATGTATCCGCGGCCACAGTAAGTTATGCCGCGCAGGACCACCAAGTTTCCCTAGCGCCCTGATGATTGCGGCTGAAAGTTTATTGGAAATATTTATAAACTTCTACCAGATTACACGGCGCAACATCCCAGAAGATAGCCATCTTCATACACGCCGCCCTGACAACCTGAAATCTCATTTACATAATACAGGTTTTGTTGAGCATATTTCACGGTAGAAAGTCAAGACTATCAAATACAAATTTCAAGGAACATACTTACAGTGTTCTGGAAGGGAGACTAACAAATTAAGTCTTTTTTGTTTTATAATAACGTTGAAATGTGTTCTGGAAGGGAGACTAACAAATTAAGTATTTTTTTGTTTTCTAATAACGTTGAAATGTTTGTCCAGAATAATGCAACACCCGTGTATCATTCCGTGTTTCTGTCGAGTATCGATCACAGAGCTCTGGTACGTTAATTGTCCGCGTACCAACTGCCATGAATCCTGTATAAGCCAACATTAATAAACCCACAGATTAATGAACACTTTGGGATATCTACTTGCCTGAGCACGTGATAATTACACTCACAGAGCAGCCAATATATTATTCTTCCTCATAATTTATCTGGTAAGCTCACATGGGTACTAATGTTACGGAGTTACGCATAAGCCAATCAAAATGAACAAGTTTCCAGATAACGTTTCTCAAGTTCAGGTAGTGAACGTTACGTTCGGGTAACACGACTTCCATTTCGCAAATTGTTTTTGATTTGTTGGTCCAGTTATGGCTGTAGGAAATCGTACTAGGGTATAGAAGTTCTGGAGTGGCACGTATTTATCTTATTTCCCTTTCGAACAGACCACAAAATCAGCTTTTACCTTAAGTAGTACTCTTGAAGTTGCGTGTACAAATCCTCGTGAATTCTCTCTTCCTTAACTCCGCGCTTCGTAGTGACCTCCAAAATCCAGCAAAATGCTAAGGGTGAAAGTTCTCCCAGTTGCGTGATACCTCAACGACCATACGCTGATTCAACACTGACGCTGTAAAATTTACTTTCACATAAATTAAGGCGTTTGTCTCTGCTATTGTTCATTCACGGAGATTCATTAATATTTTGAAATGTAACTCACAGTACTAAGAATATTTAAAATTTGTGGGTGCTATACTGGTGTAACTTGTAGCCTGCCTCTGAAAGTATAAGGTGAATTACAATATGAAAATATAAATTATAATTTATCTAACTAAATTTATCAATAATTAAATCCGTCCAGCTTAGGATAAGTGTCACGTATGGATCAGTAACTTAATGTAGTCATATTTATTTTCCTTGACCATTATTTAATAATAAAGTTTTATTGTATATTTAATACTCTAGTCTCTTTCATTTACATTACTATAAATATGCGGTTATTAATAAAAAATAGAATCTTTGTAAATATATAAAAATTCTTAAAATTACAACGCAAGATGTGGACAAAATAATAATGTATTTATCAGTTATGATAGGAATTACATTGTGAATTAATGGAGAATTTGGTGTGTGTTGTTGCAATTCATATTACACATTTTGATTAATTTAAGATAACATTAAAATCTCAGTGAAAAATTAAAGGAATAGAATTTGACTACTTAATAAAACTGCAACTTAAAACTTCTGTACCAGAGTTTTAGAAACTTTGTGAACACGTTAGAAGTAGCTACGGTCGGACGCGAAAGTCGATCTTTCCGGAACATGAGGCAAGAGCAGAGGACTATAAATTCTTATACTATATCAATTATCCCTCGAACATAGTTCTTTCTTTTATGACTTTCCCAGTTATCCGGCCATATATTCTACGCATAAACTTTTCTCGTGTTCCCTTCTCTGACCTCATAGAGTAGCTTACAAAATATCCCACTTCTTTGTTTACATGCCAAAGAAAAACAGGCTTCACTTATTTCGAACGATCTGCAGCTTAAAATTATTTATTGTCAGGACTTTTTCCATCGTCTGTTCTTTAAAACCACGACGTTTCGGAGGTTGGTTTTGTCACCGTCTTCAGGTGAGAGATACCTACTCTGTTGGGTTCCTTAGATAGAGACCAGTGACAGAGACTAGCTTGTGCCAGTCCAGGTCCGTGGTTCAATTCCCGAACGGACTGAAACTTGAGATGAGGGGTAAACCAGACTTTGGCATATTAATCTGGTTTATATGAACGAAGGAGGTGTGATTAGATGATACTTGGTACACCTCACTTCATCAAAATTTGAGTGATTTTATTAAGTTTTGGCTTTGTCCAATGTATCACATTGGGAAAGAGAGTGGCGCCATCCTGGCGTGTGAAAGTCTCTTCCCCCGACATTCGGTTTAGTGACCGTTG